TGAATTCTATAAACTACAATTTTGTAATGACTGCTTAGGAAGACCTAGAAACCTTGGGAAGGCTGTTGATGCCAATACAAAAGTTTGTGTTATCACATAACCTGATAGTTGCTGCTCTACCAATACTGAGAAAGGGCCCTGTGACAATTCAGACTTGTCAATCAAATTCATTTCATTAAGTTAGGAAGCAGCAGGGCATTTCCGCAGTATATACCACAAGATTTTACAAACAATTCTTTAACTAAAACCTGGACTTGTTAAATAAACTTCCAGAAGGAAATTTTTTTCCTATGTTCCACAGTATAAAATTTTCTATTAATTTTTTTAAAATTAATTCCTAGTAAGAAGGGTCATAAAAATATATGTTCCAGAATTCTAAAAAAGTGTGATAACACCTGGTGGAAGAGACTCTGGGACCCTTTGTCTCAAGCTCCTCTTTCTGTTGTGCCATACCAAGAACAATGGAGCAAGAAGCTTCTGGAAAGCCAAGAAATGTGGAACCACTCTTATCCTAAAATAGAGTAGGAAGTAAAAATAATCACTGAGTTCTAAATTCACTTAAACTTCTCTCTCTTCAGCCTAGAGTGCTGGGGAGTAGAGAAGGCAACGAAATGCTGAGCTACACAGGTGGACTAAAGTCACCTTTCCCCAAGGCCCTGTGCTATGCATGCATAGTATACTGCTTCCAGCCCTTCCCAAGTGAGGGCTTCCTTAACTTTCCTAGAAACAGACTACATAGGATTATCTCAGAATGAATGAATGAATGATGAATCTAAAGTGTTTCTCCTGCATTTTAAATGTATGGTCCATTTTATTAATATATTGCATTAACAGTTAATAAAATGCTTATGTATATTAATCATACAATTCCATAAAAGTCACTACAAGTGAAAAAGATGTCTTCATAACAAAGCAAGAGATAAAAGAAAAAAGCAGCAGTTTTTTTCCTTCTCTCTTCTCACACGACACTCCTAATACCCGGTATATGGGGGGTTTTCCCCCCACATCAAGCAATTCTGCAAATTCTCCATCAGATACCACCTGGGTGTCCACTAATTCAATTCAGTTCTGACAGTATCAATCTGGAGATACTGTCAGATCCCACAGGTTGAAGACTCAATCCCACAAGCCTTCAGATCCAACTTTAGATGCCCCAGGTGTGGCCTGTGCTTCTGACAGACTGGCTATAAATCGGGGTTCCCACGACCCTCTCCAGTGAATTTGCTAGAGAGCTTCACGGAACTCAAAGAAACACTTTACTTACATTTACCCATTTATTATAAGGATGTTACAAAGAATACAAATGAATAGCCAGATGGAAGAGATGCATAAGACGCATACGGAGGAATGGACTCAGATCTTCCACACGCTCCCCATCTTCTAGGAACTTCCACATGTGCTGCTATCCAAAAGCTTCCAGAATTCAGTCCCTTTGGGTTTTCATGGAAGCTTCATAATGTAGCCATGACTGATTAAACCACTGGCTATTAGTAATAAACTCAACCTTCAGCCCCTCTCCTTGGGGGTGGGGTTGAAAGTCCCAACCCTCTAATCAAGCCTTGGTCTTTCTGGTGACCAGCTCACTCCTGAAGCTATCTAGGGGCCCCTGTCACCAGTCATCTCATTAGCATATGAGATTCCTAGGGTTTTAAAAGCCGTGTACCAGGAAACAGGATGAAGACCAAATATATATTTCACAGTATCACACAAAGCAATACCAAATTTTTCCATTTCAGACCCTAATATTGCTACATGATGGTGAAATGACTTCCTAGCTACTAAGAAAGACTATCTAATACATCATCGGAAAATAAAACTGTCTATGAAGAAACTTGAATTTGGGTAAGCACCAAAAATCAAGGAACATAACATTTAGATCTGAGATGTCAAAACTCCTTGTCTGCCCTGGGCTATCTTAGTTTATGCCTATGATAAGGACATAATTCTTAGGCGTAGGCACTTCTACTCTCAAAAATGGCACAGTTTGGACAACTGGTTCTGTATCACTCTACTGGGAGATAAAAAGATTCCTAAACATACTTTGACAAAGAAACGTTAAGGTTTTCAGAAACATTAGCATACACAAAAGTGCTTTACACAATCTGCTTTTAAACTGACCAATTTTGAAAGAGTTAATAAACATTTTAACTTTCACAGCTGTAAAGTAATAAGGTTTGATCAACACTGAATGTTTATGAAATTTCTTCAGACATAAATGTGGAGCTTGGCCTTGCAACCTATATTTGGGAATTCCCACCCCCGCCCCCAACCTCTATACCCAATCTAGGGATCCATGAGAATGGTACAGTGATTCAGCATTTCTAAGGCATTCATTAAAATATGCTTCAGTGCAATGAAATCAGGGGAGGAAAAAAGGCACATAAGACGTAAATATTAAAATCAAAACTTCTTTTTATAAAAGCAACAATGATGAAATTCTATACTTTCATACCGAAACATTTGTAAAGCAGCAGAAATGACAAGGGTGTCTCTCATCACTGTTATTAGGCAAGTCATCCTAAGATACAGCAGAAAGCATATGGAACACTTTTTGTCAACTAGTTCAAGAGATGCTTAAAAATAGAAGTAAAAGGGAAATTGCAAAACACAAAGGGAAACTGTGTTCGCCAAACAAGAACAACACTGTTTATACCTGGACGGGAGTATTTTTTAGAATCTTGCTTATCTCATTTTTGTGTCTCCTGGAGGACAGACCATGTCTTTTTCACTCTTGTAACCCTTACCTCTTATCTTTGAATCCTTAGTACACTGCTTTGCACATGAAAAAAGGTGCAAAAAATTGTTCATTTAATTAAACTAATAAGAACAGAAGAAAAATGCTTTCAAATATAATTTCTGCATAAACATTCCTTTCAAAGTACAGTATTAAAAAAACCCAACTTCCATGAGGAGGTGGCAGTGGCAAGGTAGAATCATTCCAAGAGCAAGCAGGTGTCCCACAGTGAGAAATCGATTCCTCTAGGTAGTGGTGGGTAAAGGTTTAACAAACTTTACTTCGTACAAAGTCAGATACACTGTCATCAGACCATTTCCCACCAAACAAAACAGTCGCATAAAGTTAGCCCATAAGGCAAGCATTAGTTATAGCCTGCAATACCTGAGTTATAAAGAAGTTCCACTGAAATTTCTTTCAAGTCTCAGCTGAGGAGGGTTTGACCATTCTTTACAACAGGCTTTGAGGCAGTTGTTCTTCCTCCTTCAGCACCCTGTGCAAAGGCACTGGAGTTTGAGAACTAGCCATTTAACCACAGAAGGTCTTATTCATGAAGAAAGCTATAAAATGGGCCTCAATGCATCTTATCAAAAGGGACCTGGATTTTTCTTCCTCAAAGACAACATCCACTCCTCCTATCAATAAGACAGATGGGTAGACATGATCTAGTACTGCGGTACCAGACCATGGCCTGCTGGGGACCAGGCCACAGAACTCCGCCCCCCATCCCCCACCCCATCCCGTCCATGAAACTTAGGAAGGTGGGGGTGAGTGGCGGAAGAGTGAGGGAAGCTTCATCTATACAGCCACTCCCCATCGCTCACATCACATCACCATCACCGCCTGAGCTCCCCTCCATTCCCCCTCCATATCCCATTCCTCCACCCCCTGCCCTGACCATGGAAAAATTGTCTTCTGTGAAACCATGCCAGAAAGGTTGGGGACCGCTGATCTAGTAGTCTGCCCATTAAGTTACATAGGAGCTTATGGGGGAAAAGGCTGGCAGAGAACAGAGAGCCATATATCTCAGCCAAAGTGGGTAGCAGCCACCACACAATAACGTGAAACAAAGTTAACTTCTCCAACAATATCCAATATGAAGGAAGAATTTTCTCAGAAATCTAACTGTAAAAAATAGTAAAAATTAAATATTCAGGCCTCCTGAACTTTATATTAGCGGCTTTACAACCTTAGGAAAGTCACCTAAAAGCCTTAAATTTCTAGTTCATTTTGCAAATGGGGATAAATACTGTTACCACTTACTTATATTTTAGAAAACTAATAAAAGTATTGATGTAAACCACAGATACTTTCTTAAATTCTAGATGTTTAGATAGTTACTGCTCTTCTCAACTGAACATAGAGTTCAAAACGAAATATTTAACATACAGACTCTATAATCTGCTGCCAATAAAGAACAGAGGTACTGATAAGCCATTGCATAAACTGCTTGGATCCAAAATAGTAATATTATTAATTCAAATAAAGAATAGTAAGCAAGAAAAAATATCCCTTAAACTCTTTGGATATTAAACACATTTGTCTTCCAGTGAATACCTTTTTAAAAACCAGTGCCACTTTCTGAACTAACCTAAAGGTAAAGCAATTGCTCACAATCAATGCAGCTAAGTCTTGAAGGATTATGTCAACCAAAACTGGTCTCCATATGACGCAAATAATTTGTTTCTATTCACCATACTCTTTTAAAATGTCAAATTCCCTACTGACTGAAAATATAATGGACAAAAAGTATTTTTTTCCTACTCACCAATTAAAAATAGAAAAAGTTTTAAATTTAAACACTCAATTTCTAAGTGGGAAGACTGACAAGGACCCTGCAGCCAAATAGCTTCTTACAGCAATCTTCTGTGTGCAGATTTAAAGCAGTTTTTTATAGCACGGAAGGTACAATACTGCACCCTTACATAAAGCTTCGCAGAAACAAGTCAGGACCACAAACACATTCACTTAACTACTGTACAGTGCCCAATGCTCCTGAAAGGTACATGGACCCAATTTCGGTTGCTAAGCTTATAAGGGTATCAGAAAATTCCAGTCCCAACTTAGTCAGAGAAAAGAAACAAACAGTAATCCTATCCCGATAGATCCCAAGTTAATTCCCTCCAGTTTCTCCCCTATCATAATAGTAAGTGATTTCTTAATAAAATGCTGCAGTAAAACTTGTGAAATCAGATTCTGGCAGAAAATCAAATCAAAGGAAAACTCTTCATGGCAGCTACTTTCACATAGCCAGCCTCCTGCCTACCTTATTATGTTTTTGTTGGTGTCTTGCCTTTGTGTCAAGAACATGATAAGGGCTTTCCGAGTCTTGGTTGATGTAATATACAAGTCTTGAAGGCAGTGTGATTTCCTTCTGCATTGCATTGCTGTAACTGATATTACTGCTGCTATTCTGTTGCACTGGATTGTCTTCAACTGCCAGGACTCCCAAATTTTTTTCTGCAGTTTCATTCCAATGCGGAGCTGGGGGGGCAGGAAGCATAAACACACACACACACATATATATACCCCATAAATACATAAGCACTAAAACTAACTTTTCCATTACACAAAGTTTTCTCTTTATAAGCAGGTAAGAAGTGGAGAACCAGTAAAGCAAGTTATTTCAACAATGAAATGGCCTGGATAGATTAATAGCCAATAAGGCTTATACAATCAGGTACTGTTCATTTTGATTTATGTTTTATATGTATATTTTCTAACCAGTCTCAAATCTATACTTCTAAGTATTAGGGAGAAGCAGAATGAACTTGAGGGAGGAGTCATTAAAGGAACATGCTCAGGGGTCCTGACTCTCACCTCCATCCCTTCTCTGAGTCTACAGAAGCTCAACTCTATTCTGCCTAGTGGTATCCCATCTGAGAGCTAAGAACACTCCTAAGATAACTTTTGAGTGCTGTATTCATGGGCACAGAATGTTAATTGGTTTCTTTTAACAAAATGGACAGTTTCTTTCTCTTTTAACTTTGAGATGAGCAAAAATTCCTTTTGCCATATAGGGATGCAGATGCTGGCAGCTTTCCAACTTCTTTTTCTTTTCCTACCAAGGCCAGCTTTCTGCTTTCAGTGATTTCCAATCATCAAAGTACTGAACGTTACATTAATTGTTCACATTATAATAACAAGCACTTTGAGAAATCACAACCAAAGGTTGTGCACAAAGTAAGTCTTCCACACCTTAATTCTTTGGTCCCCCAAAGTATGCCTCCCCCACCTTAATCCCAACAGCAGTGAATATACCCTGTAGGAAATTTGGGGAAACAACCCATTGCCACTATCATTACATCCTCCCCGCATTCATATTAAGGCTCCCCCACGCAAGAAACAACTTGCTCCCTCCCTGCATTTCCCATCCACTGGTTTCCCCTCCGCAAGTTGCATAAAGATCGCTGAGGGACCCAGGAGCCACTAAATACTTCCCAGTGGAACCGACAGTAATTGGAATGGGTTTTTAGCGAATGCAAAACAGAAATGGACTTCCAAAAGTGAACTGGAATGAATGGGGGTTTGGGAATGACAAGGGTGGAGAGGCAGGCAGGGAGGCACGGAAAGGCCGAGCCGGGGGCACGTCCGGAGCGCACGGACCCGCTTGCCCTTCGCTTTTCTCCGCAGGGCCTAGCGGGGTAGGCAAGGCGAAGGGCACGGGGCCATACCCACCGCTAGGTGCAGCAGCCCCCCAGGCGCGGGGCCGGGACGAGGAGGCGAGCGGAGGCAGCAGGAGAAGGACGAGGAGCAGGCGGCAGGGCGGCGCGCGGGCCGGCACCGGGCTGGCGGGGCCGCCGCCGGGGCCGCAGGAGGCGCCGGCAAGGCTGCAGCCGGCCAGGGACGGCCGCCTGGAGTTGCTGCCGGGCGGCTTCATGGCTCATAGCTCCCGGGCGCGCTCGAAGTGGCCGGCGAGAGCGCCGCGCTAGGCTGCGGGGCGGCTGCGGGCGGAGCCGGTCACGCCGGCTCGGCGCGCATGGTGCCGCGGCGGGCAGGGGGCAGGGGGGTCGGGGCTCGGGGCTCGGGGCTCGGGGCCCGGGGCCGGGCGGCGACCCCTCCCCGGCTCGCCTCTCAGCCCCTCCTGGGCGGGCCGCAGAGGAGTCTGGGGGTCCTCTCCAACTTGGAGCCTCCCCAGGGGCTGCTCCCTCCCCGCGGCGGGCGCGGCCACTTCAGCTACTGCGGGGGCCGCCGCCGGGCCTGAGGATGCTGAGGCGGCGCGCGGGAGCGAGCGGCGCGGGGACGCGCGGCGCGGGTGTGCGCCCCGCCCCCGAGAGCGCGCCTGAGCGGGGCTTCGGGCGCTGGTGCTGATGCTGGGTGCTGATGTTGATGCTGATGCTGCTGTAGCCTGGCACAGGACGCACTGCGCATGCCTTATTGGGGGTGCTGGGGGAAGCAGCCGTGATGCAGCATCCCAGGCAGCATCAGAGGTGATGGTGGCACCTCCAAAGATGGGGGCGGGGGAGGAGGGTGCTGGCAGTCAGGGATGAGCCGGAGGGGAAGGAAGAAGAGTGCGGGGGCTTCCAGGCCAGAGACAGGGTTGATTTGTTGAAAACAATTAGCCAGGGAAATCGACCTGCCTTTTCCACTACCCCAGACCTCACATACCCCGTCCTATTCCAACCCCTTTCTGCTAGGGATAAACTAAGGCCGAGCATGTCCTTCTTAACCCTTTATTTATTTCCTTCCTGCAAGTAAATATAAAGGATTGCAGCTGGGGAGGTAAAAATAGCGCTTCTCCTCATTCAGCTGGCCTGCAGCGGGTGGCACGACGGCTGGGAAGCACGTTTTCCCGTCGCAGGCTGGCAGGCGCGCTGGCTCTGAGCGGCAGGAATCCCGGGGGCAGGGGCTCTCGGCCTGGCCTGGTCCTCCCTTGCCTGTACCTGGGGGCTTTGAGGAAAGCAGATGAAGGTGTTTCCTCAAAAGTTTGGAAAATATGTCTGGGCATATTGGGTAGTAACTTAGAAATTCTGGCGGGGAACAAATGCGGAAATTAGAAACCAAGTGTGTGGCGGATATCTTGGGAAATCTGTTGTTTGTCAACCATGGGGGTGGGCATGCATTTAGGAGGACACATTTCTATTTTTGAGATCCAGTCCTGACTTCTGCGGAGAAAGGGGAAGATTTTCTCTCGCTGATGTAAAAAATGTAAATCCAGGATCCCTGACTTAGGTGGGTTATTCAGCCACTAAATCTAATGGTTTCAAATTAGAGCCTGTGGCCTATTTCTGCCCCCAAACTCCCATAATGCAAGCATTCACTTATTCACCCTCCCAATGACAGTCTGAGTAATAACAATGTTGTTTTACTCTGTTATTTGTATTTAAAATGGTGATAGTAGCATCTACTGGGAGGGAGGGGCATGAAGAATTTTATGATTAAAAAGAAGAGTGTGATGTACTCACCATCAAATTGGTATTAACTGATCAACACATAAGTGTACATATAAGAATAACATCTATTGGATGTCGGGCGGGGGGAGGGGGGAGGGAGAGAGGAGGAGACGGGTATTTGCATACACAAAGAGTGCAATGCACCATCCAAGGGATGGGCACACTTGAAACTCGGACTTGGGGGGGGGGACAAGGGCAACATACATAACCTAAACATCTGTACCCCCATAATATGCTAAAATAAAAAAAAAAGAAGAGCGTGGGTATAAAACACCATAGCCACCACAGAACTCAATGTTAACCACCTCCTCCTCCTCCCCTACTTAATAAAGAGGAACAGAGACAAAGACAGACACACACACAGAAACCCCTAAGGTTACATAGCTGCTAGAGTTAGATACTGATTTTAGTTCTTTCTTTCTGTGTCAGAGCTAGGATATTATTATAACATATTTATTCATGTACACTTGTAATTGACGATACTTCCCCCATACGAGGACAACAGTTTTCCTTTTTGTTCACCATTGTGTCCCTAGAACCTAATACAGTGTTTAAGGCACAGAAAAATCTCTTGGAAAATATGTAATGAGTGAATAAATAAATGGACAATACACTAAGCAGGAGTCACACTTGAGGCAAGCTAGTGAACACTCCAACCTCCCTGGAGTTCCTACTTGGAGGTCTATGTTCTTGGGGGTGTCTCCCTCAAGACAAGCATGTCCTGGCTAGGTTTTCCCAATTTGTGTTTGACATAATGTAGATCCTGAAAAAGGGTCTGGCAGAAAGGAAGCCAGAACGGAGTTATACAAGGAATGAGAAGGGAGAAGGAAATGAAAGGTGAAAAGTGCCCAGATGCAAGTTATTTGAAAGGCATCCTTTGCAATTGAGTGACAACCTCTCAAAGTCTATTCCAATAAATAAACCTACCAGCCAAATAGGAATGACTGAACACCCACCAGTTATAACCCACCATTTCATGCATTCGAGGGTACAGAATGAGGATTCAATTTAATTTCTAATAAGGAGTGGGTGTGTTTACAAAGAGGGATGTTGTCTTATGTACTATAACCGAAAGACTGCATTGATTTACAGAACTTTAATGTTTACAGACATTGATAGAGTTAAGATAATGTATCAGAAATGAGATAGTGAGGCAGAAAAAATCACTTAGAAAAAAATTATTGGAAGTTTCCTTGAACAATATATGTAAGGGAAGGTTAAAAACAGAATTAAATATTCTTTAACTGGTCAATTTGTTAGATTTAGTAATAGTCTTATTAGGTAGTTCGTAATTTTTATTGTTGCAGAGTTTACTGCTAAATACTCCCCTCTGTGCTTTCACAATATTTAATGTCTTTTTTTTTTTTTTTTTTGAGACAGAGTCTCTCTCTGTCACTGGGGCTAGAGTGCAGTGGTGTCAGCGTAGCTCACAGCAACCTCAAACTCCTGGGCTCAAGCGATCCTCCTGCCTCAGCCTCCCGAGTAACTGGGACTACAGGCACACGACACCACACCCGGCTAATTTTTCTATTTTTAGTAGAGATGGGCCTCACTCTTGCTCAGGCTGGTCTTAAACTCCTGAGCTCAAGCGATCCTCCCCCTCAGCCTCCCAGAGCTTTAGGATTACAGGCGTGAGCCACCGCACCCAGCTTCTAGTGACTTTATTAATCATTTAACCACCTACTGCTTTGCTCTGTATTCATATATGTGCATATCATCTTTCCCTTATCAAAAAATACCAAGAGCAAGACTGCATCTTGGTTATCTCTGACCCTAGAGCCGAGTATAGTGCCTGGAATAGGGTCAACGTTGAATAAATGTGTGTTGAGTAGAGGGGCACTGCCAGGTAGGAAAGGGAGGGATTCAGCAAGCTGGATGAGAATGAAGAAAGAAATGCACCAGAAGCTTGAGTGCTATCATGGCTCTGGTTACAAATGTGTTGCATCCAAGGCCATCAGAGGACCATTGGAGTGATCTGGTTAAAGTGGTAGATGTGGAAAACTCCCGTAGTCACAGGTGAAGGCAGGTGACCAGAAGGTCCATGGGAGGCAACATGGACACCAGGGAAACACAATGAAGGGTACAGGCAAGCAATGTCCAGAAAGGGTGATCGTACTGGTCACAAAAATGGTTCGATTGGTCCTGTGAGGGAGACACCAAAAGGCCTCTCCCTGCCATAGTCTGTTTCAGATGGCAGAACCGGACCCACTTTGAAACCAGTGAGAAAACTGGGCCTGGGCAGGAACAAGCACAGAAAGGAGTAGGAATATTAGATGTGGAAGGCATCTGCCTCAGTAGGGCTGAGATTCTGGTGGAGAAGGCAGAAGGTGGGGTCACAGAAGAGGAACCTAGAGAGTGAAAGAAGATTAAAAAAAAAAAAAAAAAAGGAGGGCCAGACAGCAAAGAAGACTCGTAAGAACAATTAGAATGGAATCATCATCTGGCCAAAAAGCCAAGGTGAAAGAAGGTGTGCAGCAAATCGGTGGCTGGTGCTGAGAGGAGGAGAGCAGGAGCACAGACAGGACTGGAACAACAGCAGCTCTGGCTCAAGACAGCTTCCATGAGCGAGCTCATTGGAGCAGCTTCTATTGCAGAGCCTGCTGTAGGTAGGAGGTTCTCAGCCTCATTTTAGAACGGCTGTGAAGACTGATTCTACAAGTGAAAAGTGATACTTCGAAGGAGAGAAGACAATGCATTTCTCGGTGAAAGTGAAAAATGAGTGGGCTTCGTTGTCGATACTTTCCATGTGGTTCAGGGATCAGCAAACATTTTCTGTAAAGGGCCAGATAATAAATATTTTAGTCTTTGGGCCATATGGTCTCTGCTACATATTCTTTTTAAAAAAAAAAAAAACAACCCTTTAAAAATATAAAAAACCATGCAGTCTGCAAGCCCTGGTTTGTGAGCCTGCCATGTTTATATATGTGTATATACACACACGCGCTCGCACACACATATAATGGTTAATATGCTTTCATCAACTATATTACGTCCTATGCTTGTGAGCAGGAAGAAATAAAGAAAGCATGTACGACAATATCCGTGGCTCTAATTCCAGAAGAGATTGCTCTTCATTGTAATTTAGCTATTTGTTTAATCAATAAGTAGTCTCTAAATTCTTAAAAGATGTTCATCACATGAAGGGATTCCTAAGAAATCAAGCATTCCTCCTTTTAGAGCTAATTCCCAGATCTAGATATTCAGGGGCATGTCAGAAATCTTCATCAAAAAAATAAATAAATAAATACAGTTGTTGAAAAGATTCTAGACATTTCTTTTGTTTTGCCAAGCTATATATTCTGGTGAGCAGAGAGATGTTGAATGGATGCTGCAGCCATGACAGGTCAAATAATGGAGTAACACGTGCACTGACAACCCTTCCTGAAGCCTGTCACTGTCTGTGATCTGCCTGTGTGTCTCAAACTCAGCACTGAAGAGCGCTGCAGGGTGGGGAGCACACACTCCAGACACGGCGCTGTACCCAATG